TTATGAAATCTGACTGGGTGACTTTGGGCCAATCACCAGGAGATGGGAGTTCTAGTCCTGCCTTATGAAAGATGACTGAGTGACTTTGGGCCAATCACCAGGAGATGGGGAGTTCTAGTCCTGCCTTAAGAATGAAAGGCAGCTGGGTGTCTTTGGGCCAATCACCAGGAGATGGTGAGTTCTAGTCCCGCCTTAGCCATGAAAGCTGGTTGGATGACTTTGAGCCAATCACCAGGAGACTGTGAGTTCTAGTTCCGCCTTATCCATGAAAGTCAGCTGGGTGACTTTGGGCCAATCACCGGAGATGGTGAGTTCTAGTCCCGCGTTAGGCATGAAAGCCAGCTGAGTGACCTTGGGCCAATCACCAAGAGACTGGGAATTCTAGTCCTGCCTTATGAAAGATGACTGGGTGACTTTGGGCCAATCACCAGGAGATGGGGAGTTCTAGTCCTGCCTTAAGAATGAAAGGCAGCTGGGTGTCTTTGGGCCAATCACCAGGAGACAGTGAGTTCTAGTCCCGCCTTAGGCATGAAAGCCAGCTGGGTGACCTTGGGCCAATCACCAAGAGACTGGGAATTCTAGTCCTGCTTTATGAAAGCTGACTGGGTAACTTTGGGCCAATCACCAGGAGAGGGTGAGTTCTGAAATTGTGGTCGTAAGTTGAGAACTACCCGTACCAGGCACAGACCGATGAATTAACCAGAAGTTAGTTTCCAGGTTGATTAACTAATCAGGATCTACTTTTATACTGCTTCTATCCAACAGATTTAGGCAGTGGTAGGTAGCCCTCGACTTTCGACCAAAATGGAGCCCAAAACTTACGTTGTTAAGCAAGACAGTTGTTGAGAGAATTTTGCCCCATTTTACGGCCTTTCTTGCCGCAGTGAAATGAATCACAGCAGCGTTAAATGAGGACTACGGTTGTTAAGTTGAATCTAGCTTTTCCCCTTGACTTTGCTCGTCATAAGTTCACGTGACTCCGGGGCATTGCAACCGTCATAAGTACACGCCAGTTGCCAAGCCTCTGAATTTTGATCACATGACCAGGGGGCTGCTGCAGTGGTCATAAGGGTGAAAAATGGTCGTAAAGTCACTTTTATCAGCGCCATTGTAACTTTGACGATGAACTAAACGAACTGTTGTAAGTCAAGGATGACCTATACCTTTATTTAAAAAACACAACAAGAGCTGAATTCTCCTCCATCCCGCATACTTAAATGGAGGCTGCACCACCATTTTTAAGAGACGGTTTTAGTTATATTCCTATTTCTGGGCAGCGGTTGATCTTGATAACCCAGCTTGGCCCTTCCCATTCCGAGGTCCTCTGAAATATCACCCCTATAAATCCAAGAAGATAAAATCAGTAGGGAGGAGACGATCAGGGAAAAGCGAGGTCTACTCAAGAGGAGATTGCAGGTGGGAGCTATGGATATAAGTTTGCAACTGCGCAGTTAGAATTTGCAGGAGTCAATTTAGCGTTCACCTTGAAAGAGGCTTATCTTTGCTGGCGTTCTTCCCATGGACTTTTCTCGGTTATTTTTTCCTGGAGTTAATGATTAGTTTATCTCGGCTTGCTTCGGAACTCTCATCAATGCGGTTTGTTTTGGTTTTCTGTTTGCCTCCTTATTTATTTTTGTGACTTTAAACTGGGCCTAATAAAACAGTGAAGTTAAGTTGAAGGCCTTACCGGACTTTAATGTATGTTTTGGGTTTTGGGTTATTTTGAGAGACTCCGGGTCATCACACCACTCATGCAAATCTGTAGCACAGAAAGTTACATAAAGGGCCTTCTGATCAACACAACGTGTAAAACGCCTGCTTCTGGTTAGCGTTGGATATTCAAGTTCCTCCTTGCTTTTAACATTGTAATTATTGTAATCATTTTAACATTTTAACATTATAAATATAAATACATAAATATTAACCATTTGAAGATGATGTACCTTTAATTATACCTAGATTTAAAAAAAAATAAAACTCAAACACGTGAAATGTGGCAGCCGTCTCCTGTAGAGACAAAGGGAAAATAAATTGCCTCTCAAAATAAAAAGTGAAAATAAGAAGTTGTCTTTTCTGTCATAACGCAACAAAGGAGAATTCAGCATAGGAAGCCTTACAGGGCAGTGAGGGTTGGAAAAATAAGCTTTTCCCATATATAGGCTGAATGTTTTTTTCCCCCCTCTATATTCTATTTTCTTCTCTATATTCTATTTTCTTTTCTATTCTTTTCTATTTTCTCTTCTGTTCTCTTCTCTTCCATATTCTCTTCTATTGTTCTCTTCTATTCTGCATTCTCTTCTATTCTATTGTTATATTCTATTCTATGTTCTATTCTTTTCCTTATTCTATTACTATTTCTATTCTATTTCTTATTCTATTCTGTTCTGCTCTCTTCTGTTCTCTTCTATATTTTATTCTATCCTATTCAATATTCTATTCTATCTCTAATCTAATCTAATCTAATCTAATCTAATCTAATATTCTATTCTATATTCTTTTCTAATATTCTATTCTATCTCTACTCTTCTCTATTCTACTCTACTCTATTCTATATTCTATTATTTTCTAATCTATCTCTTCTCTCTATTCTATTCTACGTTCTATTCCTTTCTAATATTCTATTCTATATTCTAATCTAATCTAATCTAATCTAATATTCTATTCTATTCTATTCTAATCTAATCTAATCTAATATTCTATTCTAATCTAATCTAATATTCTATTCTATATTCTATTCTTTTCTAATATTCTATTCTACCTCTCCTCTCCTCTACTCCACTCCATTCCGTTCCATTCCATTCCATTCCATTCTAGTCTAGTCTATATTCTATTCTTTTCTAATATTCTATTCTATCTCTATTCTATTCTAATCGAATCGAATATTCTATTCTGTCTCTACTCTTCTCTATTCTATTCTCTATTCTATTCTTATCTAATCTATTCTATCTATTCTATTCTATCTATTCTATTCTATTCTATTCTAT